GCCTGTGTCTGCAGAAATGGTGTGGAGTTTGCACACAGCTGTGCACGGGACACTGCACAGATAACCTCCCTGGAACCTTGCACCCCAGCCTCTACTCGCTGTGTGCATCCTTCCTAGACTGCAGAGTGGGGAAACCATGACAGACAGCTGTGAGTGCATGGGCTCAGTACAGTGGCCATGTCCGGTCATGACTGTGGACAGCAATGGTTGGGTGGGTGGACGGGACACGGGTAACAGCTGGGTGACAATGCAGTGGTTGGAGGCAAGCATCACGAGCATTCTGGTCTTGGCCATGCTGCATCTGCCTTGAACATAAGGGGTTAGAGGCCAGCTCCAGGCTGTGTTGCAGGTGGGATCGGTCCACAGAAACCCAGCCTGCTGGTCTCCATTGGTGCTACCTCTGTGGGATTACACAGAGGAGGGGCAGTCCCATTACACCTGGAAGGCCTGGCGAGGAACGGGGGTGGGGGGGCCATCTTTCCAGACCAGGGCATAATGCCCAAAATAAGGAGACTGTGATGTCTGGCCTGGAAGAGTCAGGTGGAGACGTAAGAGAATCAGCCAACGTCCCACATACAACCTCGCTGGGCTATGCCCGGCCCCAGGCGAATCTAATTCCAGGAAATTCTCTCTGTGCTAAGGACCAGCCCAAGCTGGAGGCAGAGGAATTTTGCCCGACTCAGGAAGCAAAATCGCAGACTGGCTGTTTCGAAACTTCTCTGCTAAGCCAGGTGATCTCAGGATGGGGAGGGCCAGCCCTCCCCGCCCTGCCAGCTCCACTTCCAGGACGGGCCCAGCCCATTCTCAGCCTATATAAAGTGCAGCCCGGAGCCCAGCTCACACACCTGCTCCGCAGCCCCAGCTCACGCACTCCCGCCCGCTCAGCCTTCTCCCTCCTGCAGCCATGGCCAGCAAGTCCACCGTGAGGACCCAGACCAGCGTCAGCCGCCGCGGCTTCAGCACCAGCTCCGCCAGACTCCCCAGGGGCAGCCACTCTGGCTTCAGCTCTGTCTCCGTGTCCCGCTCCAGGGGCGGTGCAGGGCTCGGGGGAGCCTGTGCAGGCACTGGCTTTGGAAGCCGCAGCCTCTATGGCGTGGGGGGCTCCAGGAGGATCTCCGTGGTGGGTGGCAGCTGTGGCGTCGGAGGCGGCTACACCAGCAGATTTGGAGGTGGCTATGGCTTCGGAGGTGGAGCCGGCAGCGGATTTGGTTTTGGCGCTGGCATGGGGGGCGGCTTGGGGCTCGGCGGTGGAGCTGGTTTTGGCGGTGGCTACGGGGGCGCCGGCTTCCCCGTGTGCCCCCCTGGAGGCATCCAAGAGGTCACGGTCAACCAGAGCCTCCTGACGCCCCTCAACCTGCAAATCGACCCCACCATCCAGCGGGTGAGGACGGAGGAGCGCGAGCAGATCAAGACCCTCAACAACAAGTTCGCCTCCTTCATCGACAAGGTGAGCCGGGACCTTCGGCAAATGCAGGACTCAGCAGCGGGAGGGAAGTTTGGTTTCAGCTCTGTGCAAATCACTTCATTGATGGCAGGTGCGGGTTTCTGCTCGTTCCCGCATCCTGGGTGGGAAGGGGCTTGGCAGACAGGACATTATTGCTTGCCCTGGGGCTCCTCGGCTACTGCAGGACAGACATGAACTCTGTGCTCACATAACGGGGCTGATGGCCCAGGAAGGCCACAGGTTCCAGGCAGCAGCAGTGCCTGGGCCTTTGCAGCTCCCCCCACTCCAGCCAGCCATTCCTGGTGCTGGCTGTGCCCTGAGAGTGGGAGGCTGGGGGCTTCCCGCTGGGTCTCCCCACCCCCACCAGACACAGGGCCAAGCAGAGCCCCCAGGAAAGGTTTAGGGGGAAGCAGCAGATGGGAGGCAGGGAAGTCACAGCAAAGCCAAGTGTCTCCACCTTCCAACTCGGCTCCCCGCAGGTGCGCTTCCTGGAGCAGCAGAACAAGGTCCTGGACACCAAGTGGACGCTGCTGCAGGAGCAGGGCACCCGGCCCGCGAGGCAGAGCCTGGAGCCGCTGTTCGAGCAGTACATCAGCAACCTCCGGAGGCAGCTGGACAGCATCCTCGGGGAGCGGGGCCGCCTGGACTCGGAGCTGCGAGGCATGCAGGACCTGGTGGAGGACTACAAGAAGAAGTGAGTGACGTGGGGGAGCGGCTCAGGGGCTGCCGGGCCAAGGTCCCGGCCAGGGTGACTGCGTCCAGACCAGGGCCCCATTCTTGTACATACTGAGTCTGTCAGATGGGACATGAACTTGACAGTGTCCGAGGACCTCTGATGGCACAGAAGCACCACGAGAGAGGGCTTGAGCACGGGACAGTGAGGGGCACCCTAGGCTGCCTGTCAGGCTCTCAGTGCCATGAGCTCAGCCTGGTCTATTTCTGTTCGTGCAAACTCTGGGGGCCTGGCCGGGCCTCTGCCGCCTGCTGCCCCCCGCCCCAGCCCTGTCCTGTCTTCTCCGAGCAGATATGAAGATGAAATCAACAAGCGCACGGCGGCCGAGAATGAGTTTGTGACTCTGAAGAAGGTGAGCCTATGATGTCAGCAGCAGGTGTCTGGCTGAGGGCGGGGCTTGTCTCTGAGTCCCTGCCCACCCTGGGGCAGACCTGGGACCCAGCAGTGGGGACCCAGCAGGGGGCGCTCTGCTGACCTCAGCCCGTGGCCCCTTTCCCCAGGACGTGGACGCCGCCTACATGAACAAGGTGGAGCTCCAGGCTAAGGTGGACGGTCTCACCAACGAGATCAACTTCCTGAGAGCCTTCTATGACGCGGTCAGTGGCTCCACCCACCGTGTATCTGCCCCACTCAGAGTCTGCGCGGGGGCTCATGCCGGGGTCAGGCCCTCAGAGACCCCCAGGGCACAGGGGTCACGGAGCTCTCCCCACAGGAGCTGTCCCAGATGCAGACCCACGTCTCCGACACGTCCGTGGTGCTGTCCATGGACAACAACCGGCACCTGGACCTGGACAGCATCATCGCCGAGGTGAAGGCGCAGTACGAGGACATCGCCCAGAGGAGCCGCGCCGAGGCGGAGGCCTGGTACCAGACCAAGGTGGGCAGGGCGGGGCGGCCGCTGTGGGATACCCAGGGCCCTCCCTGAACCCTAGAAAATGAGGATGTCACCAGGTCTCTACAAAGAGTTGGTAGGAGCCAGCGCCACGGCTCAATAGGCAATCCTCCGCCTAGCGGCACTGGCACACCGGGTTCTGGTCCAGGTCGGGTGCCGGATTCTGTCCCAGTTGCCCCTCTTCTAGGCCCGCTCTCTGCTGTGGTCCGGGAGGGCAGTGGAGGATGGCCCAAGTGCTTGGGCCCTGCACCCCATGGGAGACCAGGAGAAGCACCTGGCTCCTGCCTTTGGATCAGCGCGGTGCGCCGTCTGCAGCGCGCCAGCCACGGCGGCCATTGGAGGGTGAACCAACGGCAAAGGAAGACCTTTCTCTCTGTCTCTCTCTCTCTCACTGTCCACTCTGCTTGTCAAAAAAAAAAAAAAACAAAAAACAAAAAACAAAAAACAGAGTTGGTAGGGTCCCTCTGAGCCAGTGCCCCCTGCCAGGTCATTATGGTAACATTATCACAAGCCTTATACATGGTTTCCATGGAGAAACCCACAGCGGGGCCAGGCCAGCGTCTAGCAGTTAGGATGCCTGCATCTCACATGGGAACCCTGTTCTGACTGCCTAAGGTCAGCCAGTGAAGGTTCTATGAGTGCTTCCTGCTCCAACCTGGGAGGTGGGGATGTTACTGGACCTGGCTCTGTCCAGCCCTGCTGTTGGCAGACATCTGGGGCTGAGGCAGGGGATGGTGTATCTCTGTTTCCCAGCTCTGTGTCTTTCTATATCATTCCCTCGCTCGCAAAACCCTACCGGTGCGGCTCACCGATGTCTGTCTCCCCCGCCCTCCCCCCCGCAGTACGAGGAGCTGCAGGTCACGGCCGGCAGACACGGGGACGACCTGCGCAACACCAAGCAGGAGATCGCGGAGATCAACCGCATGATCCAGAGGCTGAGGTCTGAGATCGACCACGTCAAGAAGCAGGTGCGCGGGGGTGGGGCCAACTCTCTCTGGTGTCCCTGCTGCACCCTAGGCTCGCATCGGGCAAGATGCTGGGACTTCCCTACCCTAGGGGGCTGAGCAGGGGTGGACCCAGCCTAGGGCAAGAAACCCACGTTGTGGGAACAGTGCCAGTTCCACCAGGGAATGGCAGATAAATGGGATCTGGGAGATGGAGATGCTCAGAGCCTCTGCCTGCTCTCCCCCGCCCCAGTGCGCCTCCCTGCAGGCGGCCATCGCCGACGCTGAGCAGCGCGGGGAGCTGGCCCTCAAGGACGCGCGGGCCAAGCTGGAGGGGCTGGAGGATGCCCTGCAGAAGGCCAAGCAGGACATGGCGCGGCTGCTCAGGGAGTACCAGGAGCTCATGAATGTGAAGCTGGCGCTGGACGTCGAGATCGCCACCTACAGGAAGCTGCTGGAGGGCGAGGAGTGCAGGTGGGCCTGCCCTCCCTCTGCACCTGGGTGCAAAGGCACCTGGTCTGAGCCAGCCCAGGGCTCCCAGTCTGGGCCCAGCTGCGTCTCTCTGGGACCATGGGAGGGCCGCTGGCCATGCCCCGGTCCTCAGTGGGACTCCTGAGTCTCACCTCCCCCGTCCTCTCTCCTAGGCTGAGTGGCGAAGGCGTTGGACAAGTCAACATCTGTAAGTCCTTGCTCCCTTCCTCCCTGCCCTGGCGCTCCTGGGACTGGGCTGGGGCTGGGCACAGGTGCTCACCAGCTCATGCTGTGTGCTTGTGTGCACCCTGCAGCCGTGGTGCAGTCCACTGTGTCCAGCGGCTACGGCGCCAGTGGCAGCGGCGCAGGTGTGGGCGGCGGCAGCAGCTACTCCTACAGCAGTGGCCACGGGCTCGGAGGCGGCTTCAGTGCTGGCAGCGGCATCGGCCTCAGCCTCGGGGGCGGCCTGGGCTCCGCCGGGGGCAGCGGTGCCTCCATCAAGTACAGCAGCACCACCTCCAGCAGGAAGAGCTACAGGCACTGAGCCCCACCCCTGATGCGTGGCCCCCAGCCCTGGACCCCCGCCTGGCTGCAGAGACCTCGGGGCAGGCGGCCTGCTCTGCCCTGGCCTCAGCTCCGTCCTGCTCTCTGCTTGGACCTGAGGCTGCCGAGGGCCCCTCCCTCCTCCTCTCTGTCCCGCTAGCTGTGCCCGAGCGCCCTTGTCACCATCACAGGTGACCTCTGCCTCCCAACTGTCACTTTGTCATAAGCAGGCACTCACTTTTGTACTAAATTAGCAATCTTTTCCTAGAGCGCTGAGTCTTAGTGTACAGCTCAGCGATTTATTTCTGTAAAACTCCCCGGGTTCTGCCGACAAATTGAGCAACTTCTGTTTTATGTCCCGTTGTCTCCCAGAGTCCTCATCACACTGGTCCTGATGACTCCCTTTGCTGTGCCTGTGAAAATACAAGTGTCTGTTTCTGAGATGGACAGATTTGTAGCTCTGTGGTGGCTACAAATTGTGGTTGCTTTCTCATATATGCAAAATAAAGCAGATTTATGAACTAATGCCTGGCCTTGCTGTTTCTCAAGCTGAGTCAAAGACAAGTGCCTGGGCCGGTCCTGTGCTATATCGGGTAAAGCCTCTGCCTGCAGTGCCCACATCCCATATGGGTGCTGGTTCGATTCCCAGTTGTTCCACTTCCAATCCAGCTCTCTGCTATGGCCTGGGAAAGCAGTAGAAGATGGCCCAAGTCGTTGGGCTCCTGTACCCGTGTGGGAGACCTGGAATAAGCTCCTGGCTCCTAACTTCGGATCTGCACAGCCATCTGGGGAGTGAACCAGCGGATGGAAGACTCTCTCTCTCTCTCTCTCTCTCTCTCTCTCTCTCTCTGCCTCTCTATAACTCTGCCTGTCAAATAAATAAATAAATCTTCTAAAAAAAAAGGAACGACAAGTGCCATCTCCTTTTCAAAGGTATTCTGCTGCTCCATACGCCTCTCAGTGAGGCACCTGAAACATTCGAGCTTCCCCGAGTAAGGCTGCAGGGTGAAGGCAACACGAGAACCAATGCTCCCTGAATCCCACACACCAGCCCCTCACTAGGACTCTCAGAAACCAAGTCTGGGTCACACGTGCTGACCCCGCTGCTCGCAGGCGTGCACTGGCCTGGTGCCGTCCATGAGTGGCAAAGGGCAACCCCAGGACCCGGGGACATGGGTCGGGCCATGTGTGCTGTCCTTGGACCCTGTCTGGCCCAGATTCCCCGTGGGTGACCATTACCTCCTTAACGTTCTGCTCTCCCATAAAGATGGACGTGACCGTGGCCGCCCGAATGTGCGCCCTCAGCTCATGCTGTGTTCCTCTGCAGTGACGCCCCAGCCACACAGGTAACGTCTCCCCTGGACATCTCCTCACTGTCTATCCAGGTCTCCCAGGGCAGTGAGTGGAGGCCTGAGCTGCCACACACACCTTCCTGTGCCAACAAGAGCGGGCTGCCCGGCAGGTGAACCTGAGACTTCCCATTGGTCAACAGCTCCTTGAACTTGGCCTTGGACCTGGCTGCCCATCATGGGGTGGGACATTTTCTCCAGGGGTACAGCACTGACTGTACCCATCTTTGGAGAAAATCTTGTAAATTAATCGGAGAGGGATAACGGTAGAGGCAGAGGGTGGGGAGGGAGAGAGAGAGAATGAAACCATCTGCCTGTTCCCTCCCTGATGCCTGCAATGTTTTCAGCTGGTTCAGAGACCAACGCCAGGAGCAGGAACTCAGCACACGTTTCTCACATGGTGCTAGGAATTCAATCTCCTCTAGGAATTCAATCTCCTCCTGCAGTAGCAGGAAGTTGGAGTCAGAAGCAGAGCTGGTCATTGAACCCAGACACTTTGTTGTGGGAGGCTTGTCCATGAGCGTGTCCCCCGCTGGGCCATTCCCAAGCCCCTCGCCCACCCTGCTGCTCCTCGCACTGAGCAGTTTCTTCTCCACTTAGCACTTCGGGACCCACCCCTCTTCCCTCCGTCTCTTCTTCACCTCCTCCCTGAACAAGTCTTGGATGCAGCACCTCACCAGTGTGTTCCTTTGACATACCGGCCCTTCTCCAGGAATCCCTTAAGGATCCTTCTGCCTGCATCCCATATGAATGTTCGTTCAAGTCCCAGCTGTTCCAGCTTCCTGCTCGTGTGGCCTGGGAAGGCAACGGAGGATGGCTCAAGTGCTTGGGCCCCTGTCACCCTCAGAGGAGACCCAGATGGAACTCCAGGCATCTGGCTTTGGCCTGGACCAGTCTTCGTCATGGTGGCCATTTGGGGAGTGAATCTGCAGATAGAAGATCTCTCTCTCTCTCTCTCTCTCTCTCTGTAACTCCACCTTCAAATAAATAGCTAAATCTTAAAAACAAGCCCTTCTTTGAGTGACAATTGTTCTCCTACTCACTGAGAAGCCTCGCTCTGGAAAACCACAGACTCCGGTAAACTGGATTTGGCAACTGTATCAGGAGGAATGAAAGGCCCCAGCATGTGTGAGGGTGCATTTAGCTGGAAGCCAGAGGGAGCCTCAGTGCTCCTCCAACCCAGGTGCACCTGCTGGCAGAAGACAGCCTGGACATCCACGCAGCTTCACTTCACCATCTCCAAGGAGACAGGGCCAGCCATTCACTATGGCTTCAGAAAGCAGTAGAAGATGGCCCAAGTGCTTGGGCCCCCCAAGGACATGGGCCATCTTCTACTGCTTTCCCAGGCCATAGCAGAAACTGGATCAGAAGTGGAGCAGCCACAGCGAGCCACAGCAGCCGAGACTTCAACCAGCACCCATATGAGATGCCAGCACTGCAGGCAGTGGCTTTACCCGCTACATAACAGTGCCAGCCCTACACGATGTCCTTTACTTTTTATTTTTTTAATATTTATTTTATTTATTTGAAAGACAGAGTTACAGAGAGAGGTAGAAACAGAGAGAGGTCTTCCGTCTGCTGGTTCACTCCCCAGATGGCTGCAACAGCCAGAGCTGAGCTGATCCAAAGCCAGGAGCCAGGAGCTTCTTCTGGGTCTCCCACATGGTGCAGGTACCCAAGGACTTGGACCATCTTCTACTGCTTTCCCAGGCCATAGCAGAGAGCTGGATCAGAAGTGGAACAACTGGGACTCGAACCATCACTCATATGAGATGCCGGCACTGCAGGCGGTGGCTTTACCGGCTATGCCACAGCACCGGTTCCCCACGATGTCCTTTAAAAACAAGCCCTGGTTCAAGTTCCCACCATAGGGGTGGTGCTGGTGCTGCTGTCTCCCTCCTGCAGGATCAGTCCCCAGGAACTGTGTAAATACCTGGAAGGCATGATGCTGGCACCGACAAATGAAAACCACGGAAACCAAGACACAGGTGGGGTCTCAGCATTGCAGCTAAGACCCGGGCGGTGTCGCTGGCTCAGTCCCTGCCACCCACATGGGACACCTGATTTGTATTTCCAGATCCACACTCCCACCTGGGTACTGGGTATTATGGGCGTGTGGGGAGTGAACCAGAGGATGGGAACTCTCTCTCTGTCTCTCTGCCATTGAAATTATAAAAAAACAAAAACAAACAAAAACCCTCAGATCCCCCAGGGGAGCCTCAGGCAGCTATGAGCTCATTTGTGCTGGGGCAGGTGCTTGGCAGCGACCTGGAGTGAAATCCCTGGGCAGCGATGAGGGAACGCTTTGGAGGAGAAGAGCTATGGTATGGCCCTAACAGGAGCTGTCCCGAGCAGCAGCCCAGCCAGCGGTGCTCTGGTCTGTGGGTCAAGTGCACAAGGCTGAATCTAGGTGCAAGGGTGCCAGATTCAGTAAATGGCCTGGGAGGAGAAATGCACACTGATTGTCAGATACGCAGGAAGCAACTTTGAGGTCAGCTCAGCTCCAAGCCGTGTTGGACCCTCTCCCACCTCAACGCGTTGTCTGCTTTATCTCAAGTTCAAGTCTCCCTGGGCACGTGGGCAGCCCAATTCAGGAGCCCAAGGACTTAGGCCATCTTCCACTGCTTTTACAGGCCATAGCAGAGAGCTGTACCAGAATTGGAGCAGCCGAGACTTGAACTGGTGCCCATATGGGACGCCGGGGTCGCAGGCAGTGGTTTTACTCGCTATATGCCACAATGCCAGCCTTGAACCTGAAATATTTTTTGTGACACATCATCTTTGGCAACACTAAAAATTTAATTTGTGTTCCTCTGTGTAACACGTTATCTTCCTGCTTTAACACACTGTGTATTCTGAAAATTTCAAACAGGACACGAAAGGGTGGTATATGAACCTCCTGGTACCAATCACCAGGTTGAGCCATCATCACTGCTTTCTCACTACTGTTTGATGCAAATCCCCCACTCTCTCCTCCTCTGCACACCTAACTGCTTCTCCTGTTGCAAGCGCTTATGGGAGATCCAGAAACCAGGTGATGTGTATGGTAAATGCTTGCTGCGTGTCTGATGGTGGGTTTATCATCTTGTCGCCGTCATCCCTTGATGGAATGCTTCCTACTTGTATTTCTCAGGTTGCATCAGAGACGTCTCCCTGTGGCTGCCTTGCCTGCTACCGCCCCTAAGTGGGCTCGCCTACCGCCTGCCCTGGGGCTGCTGGGCCTCTGAGGTTCTTTCCTGTCAAGCCAGCTCCCTGTGGGTCCGTGATGGGCCGTGGACCTGTGGCCAAATTCTTCCCCACTATGAGATTTCCATGCTGCGGCCTGTGGTTTGTCATTGCCTACTGGTGTCTTGTGTCTTTGGGTTTCCTGCGAGTTGTAGGTGTGGGGAGCAACTCGGACTAGACTAAGTTACTGGAATTAAGACTTATTCTATGCATCTGCTCTCCCACAATATGGCACTGGGAGAGGAGTTAAAACAACTTTTACACAGCTGCCTCCAGTTCAACCAGTAACCTGCAGGAGCTGATTTTGCTCCTGATTGGAGGAGAGCAGCCTACTCGGCGTGTGGGTAGCAGAGTTGGGACTGGTGGAAGAGGACTATAAAGAGGAGAGAGACACCATGCACCAGGAACATCTATCTGAAGGAACATCTGAGCAGCCCCCGAGAGAGCCGGCCGGTGGTGTGCCGCTCCCCCGCGGAAGTGGGGAACGTGGCAGGGGGCACCGCCCTTCCACGGAGGTGGAAGGGTCGGCAGCCAACCCGGGAAGAACCAGCAGCAAACCCGGGAAGGGCCGAGCAGATGAAAGAACAACGCAGGGTCTAGTGTCGTTCCTCCGCGAAGAGGGGGAGCGACAGTAGGAGACACAGGATCAGATTTTGTGTGGCGGTTGCAGGCCAGAATGTGAGCTAGGTGGCACCAGGAACCGTCCTCTAGCGCTGTGTCCCATGACCCCGATCCAGGGTTTCCTTGGTTTGGGCAAGGTCCCTCTGTTGCCGGCACATGGACTTCTCATCTGAGGTTTCCATGTCCGCCCACCGAGCCCCAGATGCACGCTTGCTTCAAGAGCTCAGACAGCGCCTACGTGATCTTGCTGGGCTTCCTACACGTCCTTAGCAACTTTCCTCTGTAGGCAAGGACACGCAACTTGCACGGAAGAGTCACAGTAGCGGCCCC